GCAACCTCAAACTCCTGGGCTGAAGCAATCCTCTTGTCTCAGCATTCCACGTAGCTGAGAAGTTCAAAGTGAAATGAAAAGTTATTAAAATTAAGTAGAGGGTTTAATATGTTTATAGATATAAGATGAGTAATATGAGAATTCAGTGTATTTTTTAAATATCAGAAACATAGTTGATAAGCAGGAATCAAAATGCCATTTATAAGTGCATGAAAATATAATGTATTTACGACTAAGTTTAACAAAAATCTATAAGAGCTTTATTTAGAAACTTCCAAAATTTATGAAAAGATATTTAAGAGACCTAAATTAATAGATACTATGGCTCATTCTTCTGGGCACAGAGCTCAGCTACGTATTTCACCCTCCTTTGTGGTGATGTGTGACTATGTGGCATAGTTCTAACTAGTGACGTGTTAGCCAAAGTGACATGCGCCCCTGTCAGACCTGGGCTGCGAAGATTTCGAGCAGCTGATCTCTGCACCCTTTCTGGCTTGTTGCCAGTGAATACAGCTGATTGAAGATCACAGAGCCCTCAGATGGAAGGAGTCCATGTCTTTGAATCATTGCTTAGCTCCAGATTTAATATACTTCCAATGGAAATTCCAGCAGAGCTTTTCATGAAGCTTGGAAGCTGATTCTAAACCTCTATTTAGAGTAACCAAGGACCAAAAATAGCCAAGACATTTCTGAAGACAAACAAGGAGAACAGGGTGGAAGGAAATTGCTCCCCCGTATATGAGACCTAATTATAATGCAATGGCTCAAGTAATTATTAATGGAGGAAATGCAGGTTAAAACCACAGAGATTTTATACTCATAGAAAGGCCTAAAGTAAAAAGTTTATATTATTAATCCTAAAAGATGGTGAGACTGTGGAGCCATTGGAACTCACGTGTTGCTTGTGAATGGGGTGGCAATATAGTGCAAACTCTATGGAAAATAATTTGGCGATATCTACTAAAGTTCAAGATACCCTGTCTTTGACCCAGCGTTTTTACTCTGCTACATGTGTGCACTAAGTAACATAAAAAAGGAGGTCAATAGAAACATTTATGTAACAGTACTCAATTAGAAACAACACAGTATCTGTCAACAGCATAAGACAAAAAAACATGATGTGTTAATTCACTGGTGTTGGGGGATAGCAGTGAAAATAAATGGGCCAACTTCACAAATGGAATTTTTGAGTTAAAAAAGGCAACTTGTCCAAGAATAGAGATACTAAAATTTATCAAGAAAATTTCAAACTGTAAGGTCTTTAGTGATACTAAGTATGATGTGGTTAAATTAGAAATGGTTAAATAAGCAAATGAGAAGCGCCAGAGTGATGTGAGCTGCCGACGCTGTGCTAGAGGGCGCTGTGGAGCAGCACAGGGAGCTGGACAGGCTCTGTTCTGGGTCAACTAGTGACAGGTGCAGGGATGTTTTTATTCTTACACTTCATAAACTTGTACATATGTCACACTATTTTATCTATGCTAAGGATTGTCTGCCCCCAATAATAGAAATCATCATGAACTACAGCCATATTCTTATTGCCAGATCATTATTTGCTACACTTATTAGGAGACAATTAAGGTTTTTCTACCAATGTGCTTAACGCATGCTTTAGTTTCTCCCTTAAATAGCTTCAACTTCCTCATCAATTTGCCTGTACTAAGATGGTTTCTTTCTAAAGTTGGTTCAAATCTCACCTCGTGCTAGTATTCACGACCTTCCTGGACCTAAACACACCTCATTGAAACCGATTAATGGTTATCTCTTCATTCAGTTTATTTTTTTCTTAACCAAACATGGGTTGAACATTTGCTATGTGATGAACATGGTTGGTGTACAAGGTGTACAAGCCTCTTCTCAAGGAGTGAGATTTATTCACAAGCAGACCTGCCGTCAGAGAAGTTAATTGTGGAAGATATACAGTGTCAGCAAACCTCGTAGGAGAAAGGAGTTGATTCTGTAAAGTCACAGAAGGCTTCAGAAGGGTGGTGGCATATGAGCTGAGCCTCAAAAAATTTTTCCAGTTTGTTCTTGTGAATGCAAAGCTTCCCTTCATTTTGCCACTAAACACACTTAAATATATCAGCGGCATCACCATGTCTGCATAAGGAGTGGGTCATCGCCGTGAAAGGCTCATGGACCTCATACCATAGCCATCAAAAACATCTGTGGTCACTTCTTTAGTGGATGGACATCAGTGGGACATTAAACCGACTTTGGTTGTGGGTGGACAGGATAAACAGATTCCATCTTACCCTTGTCTAGACTTGGATAAAGTGACTGTACTCAAAATGTCAACATAAATTTGTTTTTGGAATGTTGTGTCTCCGTGAATCATCTGGCTTAATTAGACTGGTCATTTTGTGTCCATTTTTATGTGACCAAGAGAACCAATATCTGACAAATTTACTGACCCAGAGACAAACTTCTGGGAAAAAGCTCATTCTTACTGGACACCAGCTCCAGCAAGCCACACTTCTCATTTTTCTATTTCTGAATGATGCAATTGTCACTCCAGATTTAGTCATTTAGAAACTTTAACCAGTTTGTTAAAATCTTTGGCAACAGTGTTTTAAACTTTCGGCATAACATCAACCGTCTTTAATGGTGGGCTCGGATGAGACAAGGGAAGCCCTGTGCACAGATTTCCAGATACCCTTCTTGAAAACCCAGTTTTACTATTAGAATTTTGGAGAAAAAAAAAAAGGAGGAGGAAGTCTATTTTCTTGTCTTCTAGGTTGAACCCTTTAAATATAAATCATTTCATGCCACACCTCTTTGCTTACTCCTACAATGACATCTTAGGGGGAAAAAGGTCTTTCTGTGGTTTAAAAACGACTCAGTAGCTGAGTACCATGGCTTACATCTGTGATGCCATCACTTGAGCCCAAGAATTCAGGACTAGCCTAGGAAACACAGCAAGAGATTAACACACAAAAAAATCAAATACAAAACAAAACAAAACCCCCCAACACTCTGTAATGTGCTCACAGTCCTTTCTTTCCTGCCTTTCTCTCCCTCACATATTACTGTCCAGCCACACTGTCCCTCCGGCCAGCTCTCCAACCTGCTGCCCATGTCCCATCTTCAGTCTTTGTACTTGCTCTTCCTTCTGGCAGGATCACTCTTGCTCTGATACTGAGAGAGCTCTCTGTCTGATTGCACTCGGCTTTCCACTCACCTCCACTCCAGTGCTTCCTTCCTAGAAAGTCCTTTGATACCTAATGGTATTCAGTAAGTAATCATTGGATGAATAAATGGAAGAACTTGCCTTTCTTTAGCTTAAGGAGTTGGGGAGAAAAGGACTGAGGCTTTGTAGTAGTCTGTGTGATGGCATGAGACAGGGGTAGTGTAACTTTTATAGAAAACACACAGAATTTGACACAAAAGATTTGGGACCTTCTCTGTCAGGCGTGTGACTTTCCATAGGTTTGAGTTTCAGTTTCTTCTGACCGAATGGATTAGACCAGCGGTTCTCAACCTGTGGGTCGTGACCCCTTTTTAACAATGAAAAGACATTGCGGCATTGGGAAGGTTGAGAACCACTGGATGAGACCAAAGTTGATATCATCAGTGAAAAGAGAAAGTAATATGTTTTCATAAATCTTAAAGCTTTAATATCATTATTGCCCTCTCTTTGGGCCAATATGTAAATATTACAAAAGCTAAACCAGCAATTCCATTTTCAGAGCTGCAGAGACTCCTAAACAGCTAATGAGCTTCTAGTCATCCTTAAAACAAAAACTTAGATGCAATTTAAAAAAAATGGGTTGAAAGGGTATTGTAAACAAACAAAATATAATAAGTTCTTATATGTATACATACAAATGAAGGGGTAAGCATTGCTTTCCTATCTTTTTAAAATCAAGTCTTTGTAAAATTAGCTAGGATTTTCATATTGGTTCTCTCTCTGAGGAGTCAGTAGATGTGCTAATCTCAGCTGGGTACAAATTTTAATTTTGTAAGATCCCCAGCCATCTCTTAGATATAATCTTTATGAGTCAGTCTGTGTGGATAAAAAAAAGTAAAAGCCCACTTCAAATTAGGTGGTTTAAATCTCTCTTTTCTCATAAGAAGATCCCTGCAATTATGTGGTAAATACTAAAAAGTATCATGTATTTAAGGTAAAATAGAGTTTTTAAATATTAACATTTGAAGACATAAAGGGAGGCTGGGATTCTATAGTTCATTGACTCATACATTTTTTTGGTTCAGGCATATTTTGATGTATTATATTGCTTGTTTAGTTTTTTAGCCAAGATTATTGCTGTTTACTCTGATAGTCCATGGATAACAAAGCTATTAAAATGGACATGTTGAAGTCCAGGAACAGTTTGTGTGCATTACTTGAGGAAGGTGGAGGGCGGTTTTGTTAATATAATGTCTGTACACAATGAAGATGAAAAGTGTGTGGTAAGGACTCCCGTGGAGGGAAACCAACTATTTGTTTTGCAAAGCAGGATGTCAGTCACACATGGCCTCACAATTAAGTTCGCAAAATCATCCTAGAAAAAGTGCTGTGTACCTCATTGCTGAATCACCACGATCACTAGTGCCAAGTCAGATCAATAGTGGGATTCTTTTTCTGGACTGCAACAACAGCACTGAGGGCCATTCCTTCACTGCCCGCTCATGTCCTCTTCCCCGTACATTACACCATTGAATTGAAACTTATTGGGCCTTGCTTGTCCTGAGCTTCAGATTTGTGTCAAGGCTCCCCTTTGCTAAACCTTTCCTCGCATCCTCAATGGGTCGTGGACATAGAGGTGTGTGCATGGAGCTTTCCCAGTGCGACTAGGTGTGCACCTGACCCTGCCGAGGGATACGTGAGGGGTGTGTGTGTGTGTGTGTGTGTGCGTGTGTGTGTGTGTGTGTGTGTCTGTGTGTGCTATTAAAGGAAGGGTGGGGGGGTCTAAAGAAGATTTGGGAAGTTAGAGGAAAAACTAAAGAGGAGCGTGATTTTATGGTCTCTAAAATATTTATTCGACATTATTTTCCAGGTTGACTTTGGATTTGCTAAGAAAATAGGATCTGGGCAGAAGACATGGACATTCTGTGGGACCCCAGAGTACGTAGCCCCTGAAGTCATTCTCAACAAAGGACACGACTTCAGTGTGGATTTCTGGTCGCTGGGAATTCTAGTGTATGAGCTGCTAACGGGCAAGTACGTACCTTCAAGTTTCTATGGCCGCTGCTTCAGAGACGCAGAAATAACTTGGTAGTGATCCAGTGTATATAACTTAGGAGTTCAGCATTTTGGAAAAGTTTTAAAGGGTGATGCCTTTTCCTCTTTCTGTTATTTCATGTACAGTGAGCTTGCGAGTTTATACCATGGAGAAAAGATTCAGGAAGGTGAAGGAAAGGAATGTAAATTGCTGTGGTTTATCTAAAATGCAAAGGCCAGTTACTATGGATAACATGTGAAGTAGGTGAACGTTTTGATGATCTAGCATAAGAATAGGAGAAGGAATGAAAGTTGTGGGCTATGTTATTATTTCCTCTTTTTTTTTTTTAATTAAGACAGTAGCAATCCATTCAATCCGTTGATCAGTTAAACCAAATCTGCCCAGGCTCTTCCATCTTCCAAGCAAACCACTAACCTGAGATGGTCAGAGAAAGGCCCCTTTCTGGGTTTTAATTTTTATCCCCTCATCAGCACCTTTCTAAAGGTGCTAATGAACAAGACACCACAGGGGTTTCAGCAGTTAGAATTGAATTGTCATTCCTGAAGAGATAAAAGGACTAGATGAATGAATCCATGATCTCAACTATTTAATGCATGTGCACACACCCGTGTAATGTTACCTTATGTCTGTCAATTACTGAACAGCTTACAAAGAACTCACATGTGTATCATCTAGATTAGTTCTCATAAACTTGCATGGGAGAGAGGAATTGTTATTTTTTTGTAATTTAAATTTTTATTATGATTATTTTATGACTTAAATTTTATAGATTAGGGAACCAGGTGAGAGAACTCTGTGCCTAAGATCAGTAATTTGATGCCAGGACTCTAAATGTGATACACTTTCCATTATGCATGAGTGTCATATACTGTGCATGTACTTAAAATAGACACTGATTTTAAATTGCACACGAACCTTATGGACACCTGGCTGTGTGTTTGTGATGTGATGCATGGACACAAGCACAGGATAGAAATTAATGTTCTTCCTGGTTTTCTACCTCCACTTCTCATTATTCCTATAACCCTTCATGACCAAATATTCTCAGTCTTAATTTCAGATTTGCATATTAAATCACTTTATAAATAATTGGAATGAGCCACTGGTGGGGATACAGTCTTCACACGTACTTTTTACAGGTGTTTCATAGAAGTGCTCTGAACTTTCTACACTCCAGGCTTCAGTGTTACATTTCCTCTGGCTACAGCTAACGTCTTTGTCCACATGCACTGAGCAAACAGATATGAAACCTGATTTTATACTATCTGTAATCATTTGAAATATCTATTGCTGAAGGGTCTGAAAGAAAGTCTAGATTATTTCCAGACAGTCATTTAGAGAGAAAAGCCATTTAAGGTTTTGGGCACAAGGAGTTCTGTCTCGAGAATTCGTCTCTTTATCTCTGGGAAATTTTCTCAGCTGTATTTTCAAGACACTTGATGGTTAGTGAAGTTTGCTGCAGAATATAAATCCCAGTCCCCATCAGCTGGCAGAAATTGCTCCAAGTAGGGAAATAAAGGAAGGGGAAAGAACCCAACAGCGTAGACCCGCTAACGTGGCTTCAAGCAGTCATGAAGAAGCTGGGAGATTGGTTTTTGTAAATATTTTCAGGGGAAAGCATGAAAAAACTTAATTTTAAATGCTCTGATCTCTGGAGTGCCAGAAGGTAATGAAAATGAAAACGTAATTAAAGAACAGAATAAAGCAAACAGAAAGCCAATAAAATAATAAAGGTATAAATATGTCAAAAACAGCACAGCAATAGTTTTTTTCCCCCTACGTCTTTCTATTCATAAGTGAAACAGATTATTGAAAAGTCGGTGCACTGATCTTGTTTCAAGTTTATTACCAAAGGTGGAACTCTGAGCATGGGAAGATCTCAAGCAGGAGACTAAGAGAGAGAGTGGTCTGTACAGATCATCTTTAGTTCTTAAAAATTAAATACAAGAAAAAAAAAAAAGTGTGTTAAGATGTCCAAGTTCAGTGGTCAGTTATTAATTTTTTGCTCCTCTTAGCGGCACTTCCCTCCCAACGCTCTCTCTGGCTTGGTTTCTAGGACCCACTTTTCTTTCCTTACCCCATCCTGGTGGCTCCTTCTCAGTCTCCATCGCCAGGTTCTTCCCACCTTCCTAACCCCGCATCTCAGCTTTCGGCAGCTTCAGTCTCCCCCACTCACTTCCCGGGTGATAGCAGCAAGCCCTGTGGTCATAAATGTTATATAAAAACTCTCAAATTATACCCCCAGCTCGAACCTCTTCCCGGAATGCCAGACCCATAAATCCAGCTGCCTGCTTAGCCCGTCATTCGGATGATCACCACAAAACTCGTGATTTCCTTCTCTATGCCACTGAGAACCCTGCCCTGTCCCCATTTTCTTCTTTTAGTAAATGACATTATACTCTATTGTTCCCTAGACCAAAACGCTAGCATCAGTGTTCTTCATTTGTTTTTTTTTTGAGACAGAGTCTCACTTTGTCCCTCAGTAGAGTGCTATGCTGTCACAGCTCACAGCAACCTCAAACTCTTGGGCTCAAGCAATTATCTTGCCTCAGCCTCACAAGTAGCTGGAACTACAGGCACCCACCACAACACCTGGCTATTTTTTTAGAGACAGGGTCTCGCTCTTGCTCAGCCTGGTCTCCAACTTGTGAACTCAAGCAATCTACCTGCCTCTGCCTCCCAGGGTGTTGGGATTACAGGTGGCACGGCCCACTGCCCTCAGCCAGCATCATTCTTTTTTTTTTGCAGTTCTTGGCCGGGGCTGGGTTTGAACCCACTACCTATGGCATATGGGGCCGAGGCCCTACTCCTTTGAGCCACAGGCACCACCCGCCAGCATCATTCTTAAATCCATTCTTTCTCCCACACACCACATCCATCCCATTAGCAAACCCTGTTGTTTCCCATCTGTCTCCATCAGCTCTGGGCCACTGTAACAGAATTCCCCAAACTGTGTGACTTACACACTAGACATTTATTTCTCACCTTTCTGGAGGTTGGAAGTCCCAAGTCAGAGGGTTCTGGGGAGGGTCCCCTCCCGGGTCTCTAGGAGGGTGCCGGCTTCTCCTGTATCCTCGCATGGTGGACCGAGGGCCAGCTAGCTCTCCCGCCTCTTAGATGGGCACTAATCCCAGTCACGGGGGCTCTTCCTCAAGACCCTAATATCTCCCACGGGCCCACTTTCAGATACCATCACATCGAGATTAGGTTTCAGCATATGAATTTGGGGAGACACAAGCATTCAGTCCACTGCACAGCCTGAATGTTCTAGAATCCAACCACATCTCACCAATTCCACCAGTACTGCTCTCGGTGAGCCCACTGGGCCTCCTCCCTCACCCCTCACTACCACTGTCACGTTTATCCTCCACACATTTTTAAAAAGCTTTCTCTGACTGCTGTAACCAGATCCTCAAGTCAGGATATATTCCCAGGTCCTTCCCACAGCCCAGTACTTCTGTCTGTGTTGCCCTTGTCTCCTGCAGTCTTGCTCCCTTACTCCACCAACCACACCTGCTATTCCGCAACTACGCAGGACCACTCCTGACTTCTGGCCTGTGCACGTCCTGCCTTAGAGCCCATGGCCACAGAAAGAGTGCCCCTCATTCACTCCTCCTCCTTACTCAGAGCTCCACTCTCTGCCCCGCCTTCATTTTTCCTTTTAGTGATCACGACCACCTGAACAGCGATGTGTGTGTCTTTGTTAAGTGATATGAAATTAATAAAGTGATTTTTATAAGATACATTCAGATTCATTATGAAATGACTAATGAGAGAGAGAGAGGCAGAGGGAGAAAGAGATAAGGAGAGAAAGAGAGAGAGAAAGGAAAGAGAGAGAAGGAAGGAAAGAAGAAAGAAAGAAAGTGTCACATGTGTCCAGACTCCAGTCTTACTGTGTCCTCTTGTGAATTTTCCCCAGCCCACCCTTTTCTGGGATTGATCAAATGATGACCTACAATTTAATTCTCAAAGGAATTGAAAAAATGGATTTTCCTAAAAAGATAACAAGGCGGCCTGAAGATTTGATTCGGAGGCTTTGCAGGTGAGAATGGCTGTGGGTAACCCCTTGTCTTGGAAAGAAACTGTGAAGGTTTCTGGTTTCTGCTTCTATGCATTTAAAAACTAGGTTGATATTTGCTCTTTTTACTTCTTTATGTAACTCAAATATACACACATCTAAGAAAAGTCATTTTCTGATTTGCAGTCTGAGGAGTCTGAGTTTACCTCGTGTTGCAGAATTACAGTACTTACAGCTTAAAAAGACATCAGAGTTAGTTTGGGAATCATCTTCATCTGCTATAGAGCAGATAGAACCACAAACCTTGGGTTAAAAAAGGAGAGATTGATTTACAATCTCCTTGTTTTGACAGAAAGTCAGTGGAGATGATGAAGTGTTCCTCCATGGTCTCGTTCATCTCCGTTTTTTCCAATGTAATCCTTTAGTCTTGTTTTAGGTTACTCCCAAATTTCTGATTGCTATTAAAGATTATTTATTAGAGAATAAAAGACTTCTAGATTCTGATTCGTTAAGTTTTTCTGGGCTTTTTTGTTGCTGTTCTGGGGTTTGTTTGTTTGTTTGTTTTCTTGTTTTGAGGCAGGGTCTTCTCTGTTGCCAGGGCCAGAGTGCAGTGGCGTCATCATACCTCACTGCAACTTCAGACTCCTGGGCTCAAGCAATCCTCCCGCCTCACACACCTCTCCTCACTGAGTAGCTGTCCCTACAGTTGGGACAGGACCCACTAGGCCTGGCCAATTTCTCCATTTTTTGTATAGATAAAGTCCTGTGGTGCTCTTGCTCAGGCTGGTCTGGAACTCCTGGCCTCAACAATCCTCCAGTCTCAGCTTCCCAAAGTGCTAGGATTACAGACCTGAACCACAGAACTGGACCGTGCACATTTCTTAAGCATTAAAATTTAGTAAATTAAGAGTGGCAATCTAGTCACGGGTTGCCAGTAGGAATTCCTATATGCTTCTAAGATTCCAGCTTAGATGTAAATAATCCCCTGTAGCTTTTCCTGTTTTTCTTAGAAATAGCAAGATAACATTCCCTGTCCTTTCTAACAACTATTCATAGCTCATTTAAAGTGCTAGTTTAAGTGTGTGTGTGTATGTGTGTGTGTACAGAGGATGCCAATAAAAATGTATACACATTTTAAGCAGGAGAAAAAACTGTATTAAAATTATAATATTCAATTCATGTTTGAATTCTGCAATTACAAGAGAGGCTCAGACACAACTTGTATTCATCTTTTGTTATTGGTATATATTCAGTATTACAATTTTAATACAGTTGTTTCCTTTCTTAAAATGTGCATACATTTTTGGGGCCTTCTCTCTCTCCCTCTATGTATCCCTAAATCTAAATCAGTTGTGGCTCCTTTGTGGAGGGGGCCTGGTCTTTTTCCTCTGCCTATACTCAGTGTGTGGGCTACAGTAGGAACTCTGTGACTGCTATTAAATGTATTAATTAATTAACAAATACATGTTAAATTATAATTTGAAATTTGTTCACGTATAATCATTTAAAAATGTCTTTTAAAAATTATTATTTCAGGCAAAACCCAACAGAAAGGCTGGGAAATTTGAAGAATGGAATCCATGACATTAAGAAACACAGGTACATACTTCTTTTCTCAGAAAACAGAAATTACAGAACAATGTGGTAATGTTGACAGCTCCTCTCGGGAAACCAGAGAACGTCCTTTACACACTCGATTTTTTTTTTCTTTTGGTGCTTTGGTTTTTATGTATGTTTTATTAGTCTTAATCATAATAATCAATCTCAAAGTGATTTCTCTCAAGTTGGAAGTTCATATCTATAATGAATGAGTTATAAAACAAGTTACAAAATCATTTATTCAAGTCTTAGCAATTTAGCTTTTCAGCCATTGCTATCTATTATTATTTCTTAATATCAACTTGGATTCTGTAAGGAGTTAAGTTCCGATTATGGTGTTTAATTTGTAAATAAAGTAGGATGTCATTAGTCATTGCCAATGATTAAGAGGATGGATCAGCTAACTCAACTGCTAAATAGTATTCTATTTCAGTTTTAATTAATATTAAATTAATTAATAATATTTATTTTTTTAAATGTAATTTTTCTTTGAATAGCTCTCTAGATTCTAAGCCTAGTGTTGTATTTTACTTTATGGCTACAGGACATTGATTTCCACAGACCTCCAAACCAAGCTTCATCATTGTGCAGTAATCCAACACCCACCTTTTCCATTTCTGCAAATCCTAAAGCTTGCCTTCAGAGGCATAGATAACTTTCCGAAGAGATCCTCTCTGATTTGATTAAATATGCAAATGTGGCAGTTCTAACCTTCAAGATTTTTGTTTGTTAAATAGGTGCCTGGCTAAGTCCTGCAATCTTCAAGATGTTTGCACTTTGCTTACAGTTCACAGATATAAAAATTTAATATCACGTAAGAGAATCCGTTGGTGGTATACGATACAGTTGAGAATTTCATTATTGAAAACCTTTGAATACACTCCTGTGTTCACTTTCAGAATAGAAAACACCTCGTGGTATTTCATTCCTCTGCGGATCTATGTATATATGACTTAAAAAAAAAAGCAGAATTAGGAGCACATCAGCGCAGTTTGAAAATAAAGGGAAAGATGTTGTTGCCAAACAGAAATGCTATTCATTTTCCTCAACAGTAGCGACACAGCTTCAATAAAGGGGGGGGAGAGCTGCTGACCCTGCTCTGTGTATACAGGAACTTACTTGAAATGAAGCCGTGTATTCCACGTTGTAAATTCATATCTGCTCTGCCTTGAGGGTGTATTGGGAAGAAAGGGGACACACGTGTAGATTTTATAGACATCGAAATGCTTTTGGTACTTCAGTGTTCTCGGTCATCTTTGGGTTGGAGTCAGTTGTAAAGCTGATTATTTGCCTTAGATTCCAATTTCTCTTCTTCCTGAACTGCATGCTGTTATCACAGCTGCTTTTCTCCTCATAAAATGGCTCAGAAACACACCATCCATATTGAGAAAACAAGTGCCTGTCAGTTAAAGCTGTTCTTCCAAGATACTTTCCCCTTTTCTCTCATTAAAGAAGAGTCTTCGAATTTTGCTCTGTCATTACTAGAAAATAAAAGTGATATAATTGTTAACAGCTTTCAGCTTTGTCTTTTACTTACTTACCTGAGGCGTATATAAACGTGGCTGTCAAATTGTGATTGGCTACACCTGCAAATTGATGCCCAGGCATTTTTCTTGCCTCAACATGGTAATAAAGAATTCCGGAATCCCTTCCCTGAAGGGATTAATTCTCCTGTTCCTCCTTAATAGGCAATTGCCTTTGCCAGATAGCAAGGTAGAGTCTGAGTGCACCATGTTGGGGTGACTGATAAAATATACCAAATTTACACAGTGCCTTCAGGTCATTCCTGAAAGCTCAAAAAACGTTATTTCATTTTGTTGCTTTTTACGCTATAAAGTTAGAGGGGGGAAAAAACCCAGAAAAATTGATTTCTCTCTCTGCCTCCAAATAAGGAGTGTTCAAAAACCTTCCAGAAATCTTTAAGGTTTATACCTCCTCTACCCAGTATATTCTTAAATTAAAAAAAATGTTTCTGAAGTTGCTCTCAGATTTTCCCACTCTCCTCTAAAGTAAAAATGCTACTTTTTAGAGAATTATTCAGTTTAATTTTGTATATAAAAACAATGCAGGGTGGTGCCTGTGGCTCAGACGAGTAGGGTGCCGCTCTTATATGCCAAAGGTGGTGGGTTCAAACCCAGCACCCGCCAAAAACTGCAAAAAAAAAAAAAAAAAATTAAAGAAAATACAATTAAACATGGAATCTTGTTACATGGATTTTTTTTCCCATTCTATATTAAACCATTTTTCCTGAAAACTGCAGAACTCTCATAAATTCTATTTCGAAGCTAACTTAAAACTAGGCATTATTCATTTCTCCTCATGCTTATCTTTAAAAGAGGCTAATGTCCTATATAATTGACCATTTCCTGATTGGAAGAGGAAAAATTTGTTTTAGTGGCAGGCCTCCCACATTTTATTGTACTTTGCTTTGTGGTGCTTTGAAGGTACTGCATTTTTTACAGATTAAGATCTGTTGCAACCTAGATTCAAGCAAGTTTGTTGGTGCCATTTTCCAACAGCACGGGCCCACTTCAGGTCTCTGTATATTTTGGTAATTCTAATAGTATTTCAAACTTTTTCATTATTGTCTTTGTTACAGTCATCTGTGATCAGTGATCTTTGGTGTCAGTGCTGAAATTGGTTTGAGGTGCTATGAGCCCCACACAAAAGATGGCAAACTCGATTGGTAAATGTTATGTGTATTCTGTTGCACCACCAACCAGCCATTCCCCCACCTCTCACCCTTTCCTCAGGCCTCCTCTCTCTTCCTTCAGACATAAAAATATTGAAATTTGGTCACTTAGTAACCCTTCACTGGCCTGTAAATGTTTATATGAAGTCAGGAGTCTTACATAGTTCTCATTATAAATCAAAAGCTGGCAATGATGAAGCTTACCGAGGAAGGCCATGACAAAAACTGAGATGGATCGAAAGGTAGACCTCTTGCACAAAACAGCCAAGTTATTAATGTGAAGGAAGAGTTCTTGAAGGAAATTAAACGACCTGCTCCAGTGATCACACACATGGGAAGACAGCAAAACAGCCTTGCTGCTGAAATGGAGAAAATTGCAGTGATCTGTATAAAGATGAAACCAGCCACGACCTTTCCTTTGTCAAAGTCTAATCCAAAGCAAAGTGCCAACTGGTTTTAATTCTGTCAAGGCTGAGAGAAGTAAGGAAGCTGCAGAAGAAAAATTTGATGCTGGTAGAGTCTAACCCTTGAGGTTTAAGGGGAAGAAGCCGTCTCCATAACATAAAAGTTCAAGGTGAAGCTACAAATGCTGATGTAGAATCTGCAGCAAGTTCCCTGGAAAATCCAGCTCAGATGCCTGATGAAGGTGGCTGTGTTAAACGACAGATTTTCAATAGAGACAAAACAGTATTATGTTGGAAGACAATGCCCACTAGGAATTTTCATAGCTACAGAGAAGAAGTCAATGCCTGGTTACAAAGCTTTAAAGGATAAGTTGACTTTCTTGTTATGTATCTAGTCATTCAAGAGTTCTGGTGGGAATATGTCAGAAGATTAATGTTGTTTTCATCCCTGCTACATCCATTCTGTAGCCATGACCAAAGAGTAATTTCTACTTTCAAGCCTTATTATTTAAAAAATATATTTCATAGGCCTTTAGCTACCATAATGATTCCTCTGATGGATCTGGGCAAAGTAAATAGAAAACCTAATGGAAAAGAATCACCCTTTTAGAATCATCAAGAACATTTGAGATTCATGGAAGGAGGTCAGAATAACAACATTCACAGGAGTTTGGAAGACGTTGATTCTAATCACAGTGGAATGGGCTTTGAGGGGCTCAAGACTTCAGTGGAGGAAGTAACTACAAATGTGGTAGGAACAGCAAAAGGAGGAGGATGAGAAGTGGAGCCTGAAGATGGGACTGAATTGCTGCAATTTCATGATAAAACTCAAATGGATGAGGAGTGTCTTCTATGGATGAACAAAGGAAGTAGTTCTTGAGATGGAATCTACTTCTGGTAAAGATGCTGTAATGTAGTGGAGATGACAACAAAGATTTGGAATGGCACATCAGAGTAGATGGTCCAGCAGCAGCAGGTTTGAGAGAATTGACCTCAGTTTTGAAAGCAGATCTACTGTAGGTAAAATGTTATCGAACAGCATCACATACTACAGGGAAATCCTTTGCAAAAGGAAATGCCAACCAAATGGACGAAACTTCACTGTTGTCTTGTTTTTAAAAATTGCCACAGCCAGCCCAGCCTTCTGAAGCCACTACACTAATCAGTCAACACTAATCCGTGTCACTTCACCAGTGAAACAACTACGACTTGATGAGGCTCAGATGATCGTTGGTATTTTTTGACAAAAAAAGAATTTTAAAACGAAAGAAGGACCCCCTCTAAGCAAAAAACCAATGGAAAAGTAAAAAAACAAAAGTCAAGGGAAAAAAAAATTGGAAAAGCAAAGGGAACCAAAACGTTTTGTGACTTGCTAAAGCAGTGGTCTAGATCTTGAACCAAACCCTCGGTATGTCTAGGGTATGGCTGTTTAACATTACCTTTCACATTTCTAGGCTCTGAGATTATTTTCAAGTGTAGCTTCAATAAATCTTCTAAAAATGAAGAAGGAATGTATGGGTTCATTTTTCATTGGTGAATATTCAAGGAATTGTTGCTCATGTTTCATTGGTGAATATTTTTTACAAATGAGTGCACATTGGCGCTTGTGTTACTTGAAATGTGTTTACATCAAAAGGCCGAGTGTTAAATGAATAGCCACTCACGGTAAGTAAATATTGCCCTAAGTCGGGTTGTAACAAGTACTTTTTGGTTAATTCAAGTAACAGTAATGATTTTTCCTGATATTTCTGTAGTACCTTCTGGGTAGAAAGCATTGTAAAATATGTTAAAATGAATTGTTACAATATTTGGTGGCAAAAGAAAAGAATCCATAGAACTAGGTGCACATCCCTAAACATGGAGCCTGGGTCTGTGTGACGGAGCAGTAGGTTCCTGTGGTTTCACAGCAAGGGCAGAGGAGGGATATAAAACGTCTGGGCCGCTGCCTGACTCTCTCTCTCTGACTAGATTTCCAGAAACTTGTGCCAAAATGACATTTTGGTTAAGAATGGCATCTTGGATGGAATGTACTAGAGCCTTCCCTTTCTGTTTTTAGTTCCTTTTCTGTTGCTAAGCTTAGACCTGGAATAGGAAATCCAGGCAAGGATAAACCAAAACCAGCTGTGAAGGTGAGAAGAGATTGAGAAAGGTGGAAAGCCCAGTCCCTGATATGGCCGACAGACAGGAAGGTGCAGTCTCCTGAGCCGCCCTGCCTCAGACTCACACTCCCACCACCACCCAGCCCTGTCCTGCCCCCTGTGGCCATTCTTCCAGTAGAAGCCAAGATTATCTTTGAATAATAGATCATTTTTGTTGGTTTCCCGGCACATATAAAAATCCTGATTCCTCACTGTGCCCTACAGAGCCCTACACGACCTGGGGTCTGGCTGTTTCTTAGGTACCGCTTTTTTTTCTAGTTTCCTCTGTAATCACCGCACTTGAATTCATTCCTGCCACATCCTTCCAGCTTCTTTGGCATTGATGTTTCTGTGGGTTCCCCCTTTTCTTCATTCGAGTCTTAATGCAAATGCCACTTCCTCAAACGCCATTCTAGCCCAAAGCAGCCCTTCCCAACTCATCCCCATCCCAGCCAATATCTGCCACTTTATTCTTTTATCTGTCTAGTATTTGCCAGTATCTGAAACTAATTACAATACGGCACTGTTTAATTTTTTTTTTAATTTTGTCTATCACCTCTTTCCAAAATGAAAGTAACTTAAAAGCAGAGTCTTTGTCTTTTCTGATACCTGGCATCAGGTTGACTTTCCATAAATATTTATTGGCTGGTTGAGCTGACCTCAGTGTCTTAATATACTAGAAAAAGTCAGTGGACAGAGGACAGGATTATTACCTATTCTTGGTAAGATCCTGAAAGGCAGAATATATTGTTTGTACACAAGAGAAGCAAGGCCTCCTGACTTCTGATGTCACATTTCTAGCCCAGCAAGCTTCATATATGCGTATATATATATAAAATTGATGATATGTGTATATAGTATTGATGATATATATATATATCAATAATGTGTTGTGTGTTGTGTGTGTGTGTGTGAGGTCTGACAGTTAACTTCACAAACTCAGCCCAGAAAAAGCACTCCATACCTCATTGCTGAATATCCCTATGGTCACCTTTGAAGTCCTCTCTTTGGGAAGCTCTGCTCTAATGCCAGGGCCTAGTCTGCTCTTTGATTAAATTTTGGAATTGTTTTTCTGGAATGGTTATCAGAGCTGTCCTTGTATGACGATCTGACAGATATGTTTGTGAACTTGCCACTGTGCACTTGCAGACACCCAGTAGGGTTCATAACCTTGGTGCACCCGTGTTTCACAGCTGTGGTCACACTGACACCTGCCAGTGTTTTGCTGAGTGGCGTCATTATTGGTTTCATGTGTTTGTGTGTGTTGTACAACAACAGCTCTGATGGTCATTCAGAAAAGAGTCCCGAAACTGCCCTGCAGGGTAGACTAGGCACTGGTGTCAGTGCAGAGCTCACCAGGGGGAGGACGTTGAAGGTGACTATCGTGATATTTAGCAGTGAGGTCTGTAGCACATTTTCTAGAATGAGTTTGAGGACTTGATTGTCAGATTTTGTATATATGGAGAGAGGGTAAACACATTTTAAGAAAGAAAAAACTGAATTAATCGTAATACTTGTCACATTTGACTTCTGTAATTACAAGAGATACAAGATACAATCATACAAGATAATAAACACTGTCAATATATAGTGAATATTTTACAATGTCAATACAGTTTTTTCTATTTTTAAGTGTGCTTACATGTTTTCCGTATGCTCTGTGTCTATAACATGTGTTTAGATTAATAATACAGAAGCCATAAATGAAAGAACTTTCATTAAACCTCAATTTAGTACCCTATTTTCACAGATTGTTGTGAAATACTTTGTTATCTAGGACCCTTTTAGGTCTAAATCTCCAGGACCATCACCACTGTAACATCATATGACAAAATAGTGTGAGCTCTGTGTGTGTTCTCTTGCGGATTCATTTTGTCATCCAGAAACATTTATTGAGCTCCTGTTCTGTGCTAAGCACTGACCCTAGTATTGGGGACACAGAAGGGGAAAATATAGACAAAATTCCCTGCCTTCGTGGAGCTTGTGTTCTGGGGCAGGAGACAGGAAAGAAACAGGATAACAAAGTCAAGTAGTATATTAGGGAGTAGTAAGTGCCCAGGAGATAAAACAAGCAGTGAAGGAGGGTAGGAAGTGCGTGTGTGGTGGGGGGCAGTGGGGGTGAGGGTTGCAATTTTAGATTAGATGGCCAAAGAAGGCCAAGATGAGAAGATGAACTCTGAGAAAAGGCCTAAAGGTATCAAGGGAATGAGACCGTGTGAAAAGCTGGGGAGAGAACAGCCCAGATGTTAGTACTAAGGTCTTAAAGTGGGAACATAGGTCGTTGGAAGAATGGTGAGGAGACAAATGAACAAGAGAGAAAGAAAGAGAGAAGCAGGATGGTGGTGTGGTCGGGGAAGGTGGAGGTGCAGAGAGAGATTTCGTGAGGCCGTGCACATTCTAGTAGGGGGTAGTGAAGACTTGGCTTCCATGTAGTGTAATGAAAAACACTGGGAGTTTTGCACAAAGGGATGGTGCAACTTGACTTATTATTATTATTATTTTTTAATGACTAGATTTTATCTTATAAGACTTCTGATTGAAATGAGCAATCTTATTGCAGGGTATAACCCTAGCACAAAAGTGGGGCTCGGCCCGTGCGGATAGGGTAAAGGTGTCAAGGATTGGTCAGACTCTGAATACAGATAGAATTTGAAGGCAACAGTACAAGGATTATGGACTGAAGTAGGATGTGAGGGAGAAAAAAAAAACCAACCCAATACCTTTGGTTCAACCAAGAGGAAGGGTTGAGGCAAGTTTGATGGAGAAAATTTGGAGTTCTGATTTGAACCTGATGCATCTCGATGCCTGTTAGACAGTTAGTTGGGAGATGATTGAACAGCACTTGTAGATATTAACCTGTAAACCAATGGGGAGGTCTTGGTTGGAAATAGAAATTTGGGAGTAATCAGTATGTAAGTGCTACCTAAAGCCATGAGATTGGACGTGATTACCTAGAAACTGGGGGTAGCTAAATCAAGAGGTCTAAGGACTGAGCTTTGGAGCACACCAGCTTCCCTAGGAAATAGCAGTGGGTACTGAGGGGAGCCCTGAAGAAGGTTGGAAGAAAGCCTGACGGTGGCATGTCCTAAAGACCAAGTGAAGAAAGTGTTTCAGGAGGTGGGAGTGACCAACTGTGGCAAATGCTGCTAAGTGGCAATATGAGACCTGAGAACCGAGGGGACTCCGGGGAGTGGAGAGGGTGAAACCTGACCGTAGCATGGGCTGGAGGCAGTAAGGAGCATCAGGTGATTAAGGCACTCTAGAAGTTTCACTCTAGTAAGAAAGAGAAAAATGGAGTGAAAGTTGGAGAGGAACTCAGGAAAGGGAAGGCTGTTTTGTTGGTTGAAGAAATAAAATGTTTCCATACTGATGAGAATAATTCAGCAGGGAAAACATGGAAGATTTAGGAGAGAGGAGAATTCCAGGATGACGTCTTTGGCTAGAAAGAGTTCATGGGATCAAGTACACCAGTAGAGGGATTGACCAAAAATACAGATGTGTGAGGGAGAGCAGATACGCGGGTGAGAGAGCAAGGACGTTCTCTCTTTATGCTATTATATAAATTAGAAGCAAGGTCATCATTTGGGAGTGAGGGTGGGAGGAGTCTGTGGAAGCTTGGGGAGAGAGGGAGGACCAGGTACGAATTCTAAATCTGACGGAATATGACAGTGAGTGGATCAAGGAAATCCAGGATGGTTGCTGGGCAGCATTAAGTGCCTGCCTGAGGGTCATGGCCATGGATTTAATGAGAGACCAGATGACCAGCACGGTGTGTGGTTTTCCCAGCTGTTTGCAGCTGCCTTGATGCAGGAAGGGAACCAGCCACAAAATGGATTGGTCACTTGACATAGTTTATCAGGAAAATAATATTCCTCTGTACTTTCCTCATTTCTCAGGTGGTTAAATGGTTTTAATTGGGAGGGACTGAAAGCACGGAGCCTTCCATCACCTTTACGAAGAGAGGTATGGTATTTGGTCTATTGTCTCTCCTAATTCTTTTCTAGAAATTTGATTTTATGAACAGATTTTGTAGGGACTGAGGTGCATTGGCTATATTAAGGGTATTAATTAGCTCATTTCTCAGGAACCAATTACCATGAAAATGACATCTAAGTCTCCAAGTAGTCAGTAGGCTAATAGATCATTCTAGAAATCAATGTGAACCATATATACAAGGTGTCCATAAAGTTTATGTGCAATGGTTTTAAATGGCATGCAAATTTTATGGACACCCTGTATAATTTAAAAATTAAAAACTTTATATTTTAAGCACTAAAAATGTTTTAAAAAGCATAAAATAAATTGTAAATATTTATCACAATATGTAAGAATACAATGGAACTTCCGTAAGTTGACCACCCAAGGGACTATGACAAACTGATCAGTATACGGAGGCAGTCAACATAAGAAACTAGGCCTGCTGTCCTGATAACTACATGTGGTGCCTGTCCCGTCTATGAAAATTAGGTCACCTTGAGGTGGCCAGTGTAGTAAGGTGGTCAGCTATGGGGGTTCTACTGTATTTCCATTCATTTTCCTTAAAAAATTTTATCCTAATATAAAATCTTTTTATGCTTACCAATGCATCTTTACCATTCTTCAAGTGCCTTTAACATTAAATTTTAACATTTTAAAAAATGTCTGTGACAATAGAAATTTCTCTTACAACACAAATGGTTCTTCTGGATTCAGTTATAATTACATTTTTACAATGTGCGTGTTAAATGAAATCACTATAGTACAAAGTTCTAAAGATAAAATAAGATTTTTGAGAAGAAATGATTTTATGTACCTAGGGATAAATATTATTTTTAACAGATGAGATCAGATTCAGCATCACTTCTGTCCATTTTAAAAATTGTTATTGTGTATCTGCAAGTGCAGACAATCGTGTTTACACAGAAACTTGAGGAGGGACGGTTTTGTCACAACACTGTCTCATTGAGCGGCTTTTAGATGATCCCTCCCCCTGGAGGGGGAGTACATTACACGCCAGTACATTATCACGTAACACCAATAGTATTTGTAATGATCGTTCAGCTGGTAATTAAATTATATACTGCTTAAATTTGTTTGAAAGCAGAATTGGAAACAACTTTATTTGCAAAATAATTTAATACCAGATCATTGTATTCTTTCAGTAGGGGCACCAGTCTTGAGAATTGTTCCTTTGGCATTCTACATACTTTATAAGGATCTATTACGCATATAAAAATTCAAGATTGGCAAGAAACTTTTATAAAGTAAAAATTTTGGCAGGATTGAAGTTTTTAATATTTGCTTTTACAATATTTCGCAATTTAAAAAAATAAATAATTCTGTCACCTTTTCTTTAGGAAGTAACCCCGCATACCACCTAGCTCCTTAAGGAATGTAATCCAGTGGCCATATTCATGTGCTTAGAAAGGGGAGGGTTCATGAGGCTGGGTTGTGACTTAAGAAGGAGAATTGGTCATCTTTCTCTCATATGTGACTTACAAGTGGTTGCCTACGAAACCAGCTTTTGGGTGTTAAAAGCATCACCCTGACGGGAGAGCAGGCTTAGTCAACATTATCCTCACCTTTGTTTTAATCTCTTTATTCCTTTCTCTCTTAGCTCAGTGGACCCATAGATCACAGCTACTTTGACAAGTATCCCCCTGAGAAGGGCGTGCCTCCCGATGAACTGTCGGGCTGGGACAGAGACTTCTGACAGAAGAGAAGATGATTCCCGCCGTACACTGCAGACGGGGACTATGGGATCAGTACTCCAACCCTGATTAGTTTTCTCTTCAGAGTATTATAATATCTTGTGGAAGACCATTAGGGAAAGAAATGTCTGCACGGGGGCCGGAGGATGGTGTGGACGTGGTCCCGAACCCTAATATCTCATTAGATGCCGTGACTCATCCATACGTTTCATTCTTTGTTTTTCTCGAATGTTGAAGTCTGTCCCATGTCCCTTTCCACATTCAGAACCATTTTTTGTTAAAGAGGCATAGTTTTCTCTGCAATCTATTGCTCCATCCCAATCATACTCTTCTCCTTTGAGAGTGCTGAGGTATGAAGAGCGGTCTTGCCACTGAACAGCAAAGTCGTGCAAATAGAAGAATGGTGAACTTTGAAAGATTTCTCCAACAACTCCTCATAAGCATTCAAAGGGTGGTTAGCGGAAATCGTGGGAAGGTAATGAGTAGAAGTTGACCTCCACGAACGTTCAACCTAGAAATACACCGACAGTGGTTCTGATACTCGTCTGGAGAAAGGCAAATTTGAGTACTAGTGAGTAGTACTTCATCGGAAAGTAAATGAGTCAATTAATCCAACCACATCATTATATATATACTATTGGGGAACTTAGGAAAAATTAACAAAGCAAAACTATTTTTCTTGTATTTTTTTAATGACCAGCAGTAATATCCCAAGGACTTTTTGAAACCCTTGCTAACGGTGGTTGTATGTATGGTTAGATATGGGCCAATGGCAGGCTTTTCCCTGATATGCTTTCGCAACCAAAGTGGAAAACATGTTAGAACATAACTATGAAGGCTTCTCATTCCCATTAAATATAGAGGAGAATGAATTCTAATAGAAAAGGCTGCTGACTCTTTGACACTCTGAGGTATTTTGGCCAATTGTGTGATTGTTGCTATGAATGAATCGAAAGAGTATAGAATAACCATAATTAATTTTTATTAAAATTTAAAATTTTATAAAATCTCATTAGCAAATATCACTGCACTGTAATCACTGCTAAGTTAATAGCTCTTTTTAAAGACATTTGAGTCATGGATGTGTTTATACTTTTAGATGGTTAAGGCTGACTAGCCACTAGAAAAGTGATAGGATTTTAGAAAATCCAACTTCTGCTCTCCTGTCTCTTCCCTACAATCTTCCAAATAATAAACAGGATAGTTTCAATAGCACTGGACCTAAGAACGTTGCTGGTGAATGTTGGTAGGTACTGACCAGGATCACTCCCTCACTCCCTTTCCAAAATGGAAAGCCTTGAAAGAAGAGCTTTCTATCTTTTCAAAGTGGCCGAGTGAAAAGCATATTCAAGTTATGGCATTATTCAAGCTTCTGCTTATATTTTCATATGATCATGTTCTTACATGAAAAGCAACCTCTACCTAATCCCTGCCCATAATTCCATCGTTCAGAGAAAGCTACTATTTACTTCCTGAAGAGTTCAACAAGGTAAGTGAGGCTCAGCCCAGGAAGGCACATCCTTAACACAAACTGAATTTCTACATTTAGAATCCTTTTGCTGAACCAAAGAGTTTTTGTTTCTTGGAGTAGTATTTTTAAAGATTATGTATTGTACATAGCAGAATCATTTTTAGTAGGATTGGCATAACCTGCTTAAAGAATTTCTAAGATTTTTAAAAGACTTTTATTTGCATTTGGTTTGTACTGTATGTTTTTCCATGTATATATTTTAAAATTACCAACCTATGAAGATAGGAAATTTGTGTATTGGGTGGATATTCGAACTGTACAGTTATTATAGCAATGATATTCTCAAAGGAGTTTAATAGTTATAATTCAAAAAACCTACACATATAGACATAAAAACTGACTTAGAATACTACAGGTTTATTTTGCCTGAGACTGGACACATGTAATCCCCACATGTGATTTTATTGTATTTCCATTATAAAGGTGAGGAAATGAGAGATTAAACCCTCCTATAACCTCAACTTCACTATTTCCTAGCTGGGTGACCCTGGGAAAATGATTTTGCTCTTTTAAGTACGAGCTTTCCACCTAGGAATAGTAAAGGAATAGTAAAGTAATACTTCAAGGCTTGTTTCAGGGATTAAATAAGATATATGGAATGTCTTTCCGCTGGTTTCTGTAAACTAATCAATGCTGCAAGCTGGGAGCCACTGTTACTATCTCTATTAAAATTAAAGGGGCCTTAATAACCATTCAGTTCTGAACCTTCTATGTCATTGATATCTGTAGGCAGAATTACACCATTAAATCTAGTATCTGTCTTTTTTTCTTTTAAATCATGATGTAAAGAAGGATTGCTCAAATATCAGTGTATAAGATGAAGGATTGACCTTCACTTCGAAACGAAGTACTCTAGTAAGCTAACCTAAATTTTAATTTTTTTTTTTAATTAAGGACACACACACATGCACATAAAAGGAAAGGTAGAAAATTATCCGTGCAGGTACAAACCTATCGTATTCCTAATCATTAAATAATTCTTAATCTCTCATTTGTAGGGTGTAAAGTTAATTTGTCACTCTTCAGCTTCTTCTATATAATTTTAAATATGAAAATTTCCTGGAGGGAGAGGAGGCGAATGTAGTAGTGAAGAGTAAGAGATTTAGAGTCAAAAATATCTAGGTTTTTAGTTTTAATTGTGACCTTGAACAATAAATGACATTTTTACTCATCTGTAACTTGGAGATACACATTTAAAGCTTTGAATGGGTCATAGTATTATTACTAGTAGGTCATTGATGATAATTGTTTGGAAATAAATATGTCCATATATTTCTTTTGAAATATTAATAAATCCTGTTCTTTATTTCTAGAAATGGCACTAAGAGTATTTCTTTCCATTATTTCACTCACACAAAATTAAAAAATATAAACATGCTGTTCTCAAGATCTTTTAGTTATTGGCCTAAAATCTGCATTCATTCATAATTTGGCTGTGATGACTTTGCATATAGTCCCATTGCAGTTACTACGACTGTATTACCAGTTACCCTAAACTTTGTTGCTTAGCACAACCATTTTGTTATTCTCCTGGATTCTCTGGGTCAGGAATCCAGACCACACCTGGCAAGGTTGGCTTGACTCTGTACCACAGTATCTGGAGCATCATTTGAAAAGACCTAAGACCTGGAGATGACTTGGTGACTAGGAGGTAGAATTACATGAAATCTTGTTCATTTATATATCTGCTCTCTGGCTGGAACTATTCAAAGACCAGTACTGAAGACCAGATTTCCTATATATGGTCTTCTCCACCCCTTGTGTTCTTTCCCACTGTGATGTCTTTAAGATCATCAGACTTCTGTCTGGCAAGATGAGGCACCAAGAGTGAGTAATCTAGCTAAACAGAAGTATCCTTTATGAACTAGCCTTCAAAGTCAAGTAAGATCACTTCTGCTGGTCTCTATTGGTGGAAACACGGGCTATCCAGACTTGAAAGGAGGAAACAGACTCAGCTTCTTAATGAAGAGAATTCCAAAGAATTTGCAAGCTCATTTTCAACCTGCCATGGTTCGCTCTCTGAGCACCCATTACTTATATTATTGCCATATACAGAATTGATTCATTTCTCCCCAAGAGCATTCCTAACATTATCATCAGGCTCATGGTTCAGGATCTTGTCATCTAAATCCAACTCCATCATGGATGACATTCCTCAGGTGTGACTCCCTGGATATGTTCTTGTAAGTCTGAAACAGATTTTCAACTGGTGCTTCGGCACACTGGTGTGCCATAGAGGATCTTTGTTGTGCCATGAAATTTTTTTTTTAATTTTTTTTTTTTATTGTTGGGGATTCACTGAGGGTACAAAAAACCAGGTTACACTGATGTCATTTGTTCGGTAAGTCCCTCTTATTCTTGCCCCCCAAAGGTGTGTCACACACCGACCCCCATCCCTCCCTCTCTCTGCTCTTCCTTTCCCCTGCCCTCCATCATGTACTAGGTCATCAATTGTCCTCACATGAAAATTGAGTACATAGGATTCATACTTCTCCATTCTTTTTTTTTTTTTTTTTTTGCAATTTTTGGCTGGGCCAGGTTTGAACCCACCACTCCATTATAAGGGGCCAGTTCCCCACTCCTTTGAGTCACAGGTGCCATCCAATGCTTATGCTTTACTAAGAATAATGTGTTCCACTTCCATCCAGGTTAATACAAAGGATGTATAGTCTTCATCTTTTTAAATGGCTGAATAATAGTCCAAGAAAATTATGAAACCCTAAGAAAGGAAATAGCAGAGGATATTAACAAATGGAGGAGCATACCATGCTCATGACTGGGAAGTGCCGTGAAAATTTTTAAAGGCCATTAATTATATTATTTTCAGAAGAAGTTCAAAGCACAGTAAGTATATTCTTTTTTTCACTCTTTTTTTTCTTTTTTGATCAACATGATTTAAGTTTGCCACAGAAGTTTAACTATAGTTTCAAGTGTGCAGTGAGATATAAAATGTTGTTAAATACTGGTCTATAAGCCTGTGAAATCAGTAATCTGCCCTGACATTCACATATTGAGTGGTGAAATGAGCAGAGGGTCGCCACAACAGATCCTCGCATTAGGACAGGGAAAAAATGAGAGTTGTAAAGCCATCCTGGGTCTACAGCAATTCTGAAATTTGGCTGGACAGGGTGCCATTTTTCTGCGTAGGGCGCAGTTCCACTCCCTGTAAACTGTTCTCTGTAGGTCCTGACTCCATCATGTAAAATCTTGGTTCTGCCTTCTGAGCCACCCTTCCTTTTCCATAAGATACAGCTGGCATTTGCAACCGTGTAGACTTCTTAGCCAATTTCTTCTCCATAAAAGTTTGATGGTAGAAATGCCGCCTTTCAGTTTGTCTCTCTTAATTCTAAGCTGATATAGTTCCTTTAAAATTTAGTGATTTTTCCATATATGAATTCATAATTCACTCTATCAGATGAAAGTCATGGTCACAAATCTTTTCCGTAAGGTGATGTGAACATTCTCTCAAGGTTCTTAGGAGTTCTTTTTTGTTTGTTTGTTTTTTTAAAGAGGGTCTTTAGGGCAGGTACGTAATGTACTCAAAGGTCTGTTCGAAGGTTTTGGTGGACAGCTTCACAGATGGCTTCCAGTCATCCTGCTTGTAAGAGTTATGCTCTTTTATAATCCCCTCCTCTTGAGTGATGGCTGAACTCAGTGACTTCCTTAGAACAAACAGACCATTACAAAAGTGAAAGATAGTCACTTCTGAGATTAGACAGCAAAGTGACTGTGTGTCCATTCTAC